AATGAAAGTTGTGTTTTATTATTTTTTTCTTTGTGCACATATTGTTTTGTTTCTGACCTTGCACCGCCCTCCCCTGTGGTTGTAAGCCGCCCTGAGTCCCCTCAGGGAAAAGGGCGGCATATAAATCCCAATAAACCTCTAAAACCTCTAAACCTCTTCCCTGGTAAGGAAAATAATCCTACGTAAGCAAGCCAGTGCAAGAAGAAGCATCATAATATGTGACTAACAACAGTACATTGCTTTTGCCATCTAAATGCCATACAACTGGGAAAAGGCACAAGGCATGATTTGAGATTCTGTCCTCTGTGTTATTGTAGACTTCACTAGTCTTCTCCTCCACACAGCAGCAGAAGCCCATTCCGGTAGTCACCAGATGTATCTTTCTATAAAGGATCAACCAACAATGAGTCCATAGATTCTCAAAAAAGGACAGTTTTTCTAGTATTGCTATTTGTATGACTATTCTCTAATCATATGATGGACACATACTATTAAATAAAGAATTTTGTTCATCAGAAATCTATAGCTGCAAAACCAACACTATTTACAAATACTATTAGTAGTAAATGTTTAAATATGCTGTTGCCCTTGATAAAATGCCTACAAAAGAATGAGTATTAAGGAGAAATGATCAGGAGTGTCAGATTCAAGATCACCCTCAGCTATAGAAGCCATAGAAGCTAATTGGGTGGTTTAGAAGCAATCACTATCTCAGCCCTAAATGCCACAGAGTTGTGGTTGGTATAAATCTTGAGCTCCTAGAAGAAGGGTGGGACATACATTTTACATATAAGTAAGTAATAAAACAAACTATGATTAAAATTCTTCTGTTTTAACTAATCTAAGCTGAAACATAACTCAAAGCTTGGTAGATTGTAATTACTCTTAAGAAAATGGTCACATGAAGCAGCAGTATTTTCTGTTACAAATAATGTGAATTAATAATCATAAGTGAGGTAAAATTTACCTGAATTACATGGTGCAAACTTTTTGCAAAATCCCTTCTGAATGCCTGTCTGATATCAAGTAGATCTTTTTCACTCCTTGAAACCATAATTCTGATCAATGTATCATCATCGGTGCCTGCTCCCTAGTAAAACAAAGTTAAGCAATCGATTAAGGGCACTGGCCAGTAATTCTACCAATTCCCATTATTTAATTCTTTCTGCTGGAGCCACTTTTGTGGCTTATTCACAAACCATAGTTAAAATTAAACAATGACTTAGCATGATGTTTGAATTTTTTGCAACTCAGGAGAAACAATTCATTTTTTAAATTTTATTATTTTAATAACAAAGGTTCTTAAACTGTTGGATCCAATGAGCCCATTTCCCAGCCTTGAATAGTATCATTTACCCTCATAAAAAAAAGCCAGACTCTGTCAGTGTGGCAGTAGGGACAATCCCAAACTGGATTCTCAACTTGCTAACAAAGCAATTAGAAATTGGTCCATTAGCTCCACTCTACGCCCAAGTCATTCTAAACCACAAGATGAATGGCAAATAAATTTGATAAATAAAAAAATATATACATTAACCCATTGGAGAAAATTACCTTCGGTTTTAGAACCCCTGCTGTAATGCAACTTCAAAAAGAATTCAAAACATGGGAATTTAGTAAAACTTGACAAAACAAAAAGAGAAACAAAACTAAAAAATGACTACTGCTACATAGAAATTGCTCCAAGTTTTTAAGCAACATATTGAAAATGGATTGTATAATGAACACCTCACATCAGATCAATTAATACTTATCACTCAATACTCAAATCTACATTTCAAATACTATATTGTAAACGTTACAAATACCAAGAGAACTGAAAAATTCATAAAATGAAATGTTTTCCTCTTCATTTTATCTCCTTTTCAATTTTTCTCCAAGAGTTGACTGAGGTTGAAATCCTACGGATGTGTTCTTAAAATATAAAGGTCATTGAACACAACAAGCCTTGTTTCTGCATAAATATATATGGAATAACAAGAAGCCAAAATATTTATGTTCAAGAAAGTAACTTAGATATTGTCAGTCTGAGATTGTTTAAAATAGTAGTGCTTGAAGATGTTGATTTTATTTAAAAATGATAAATACTTACTTTCATTGCATAAAAGAGACATTCAGCAAAATAGGCAGGAACACTTCGGACACACTTCACTAGAAGAAGAAAAACAATCTATGTGAATCACAAAATATTTTAACATTACTTTATCAGATGACAAACAGCTATATAAATGGCATTTTTCCCCTAAACACCAAAAAGTAGTTTTCAAATATTTACAATAAATTATTTGATCCACAATTTCTATCACACATTAATATCTATTTAAACAGGGAATTTAACCGAAACAACCCTTGACAATTCTCTGATTAGAAGTAGAGTGAAATCTTTGACACTGGATTTGCCTAAAGACCCAGGTTAGTTCTTCATTTAACTGAAGGGCTCATGAGTAATTTTAAGCCAGTTGTTCTCTTAGTCCCGTGATGGCGAACCTATGGCACACATGGCACAGATGGCAGGTGGAGCCATTTGTCAGGGCACGCGAGGCTTGCTCTGTCAGCAGGCCAGTGCACATGTGCGTGCTGGCCAGCTGACTTCGGCCTTCTTTTGAGGCCATTTTTTGCCCTCCGGAGGCTTCCCTAAAGCCTCCGGAGCACAAAAAACTGGCCCTACAGGCAAACCTGCTCATATGGCCGGTTTTAGCCTTCCGGAGCCCTCAGGAGGCTTCCCTAAAGGCTCCGCAGGGGAAAAAATGAAACTATGAGCAAACCGGAAGTCACTTCTAGAAGTTCCAGAATAGGCTTCCAGTTTGCTTGTAGGGTTGTTTTTTTGCCCTCCAGAGCCTTCAGGGAAGCCTCTTGGAGGCCCTTGAAGGCTCCAGAGGGCTAAAACTGGCCCTACAAGCAAACCGGGAGCCCATTTCTGAACTCCTGGTTTGCCCGTAGGGTTGATTTTTCACGCTCCAGGGGCTTTGGGGAAGCTCCTGAAGCCTCCAGAGGGCCTTTGGGGGGGCAGGGGAGGCTGTTTTTGTCCTCCCCAGGCTCCTATAAAGCATGCCAAAAATGGGGGGAGCGCTGGTCATGCACACTGTGGTGTGCGCATAGCAGTATGGGTGTAGCATGCACGCATGACTCCCCTGTGCTCCCCCCACTTTTTGCACACAAGCCAAAAAAGGTTCACCATCACTGTCTTAGTTTAAAAATATGCATATACCCACATATATTATATGACACAGAAAAACAACACAGTATAGTTAGGATGTATATATGTACATGGCAAAAAAAGGAGAGCCAGCAGACCTACCTGTGACATGCATAGCAACATGGTTATCACCAACCCACAGCCTCTCAGGGAACTTTGGGTTGGCTTGTCCTTTTATATGGGCCAGCCAGCTAAGAACTTCCAAATTTCCTGACTAATATGTCCATGCCACTCCCCTCCTCCATTGACTAAGCAGGAACTTTGCAATTAAAGGGGCTTCATCTGAGCAGTTACGAGGCAGAAATGGTGACATTGCTTATGGGTCATCAACTAATTAGCTGTACTTTGGAGCATATTTGTTCCAAAACATATCTGGAGCACACACAGCCACTAATCATGCCACTACCGCTTAAATGACTATGGATGGCAACTGCTCCTTGTACAGAATGACCATCCATTACACAGCTGCTCAGCCCAGTGCCTCTTGCAACAAGGGGCTTTATACCCTATCTATAACTTACATAGCAATATAACTGTTGTCTGCAGTGCAACTGTTCAGTCCAAAGACTCTGTAGCTTGTCTGAAGGTCTTCCAGATTGTGCAATTTTGGAATATAATATCATCAATCCAGTGGTGTATTAAACATTAAGCAGACTAAGGCACCATGCCCAAAGGGGGCACCACAAAGTTGAGAAAGAAAAAAAAACAATGAAGATTTGTACAATATGTACAAAGGAGGGGCATCAAGATTTGTCAGTGCTTAGGACATCAGTGAGCCTTAAACTGCAGCAATCCATAAACCACCCAGCCTGGAAGTTCTTTGGTCAGAGCTGCAGAAAAAGACTGACAGGAAATTTCTTTCACAACATTGTCCTGAAGTGATTTGAGGCCACCCACTTAGTTAATGGAATCTATGTTGCTAGATAACACAGGCCTAGTATATACAAGCTTAAGATTCCTCAAGAATGGGACTATACATTACCAATTGCCAGAAGCAGCTTTTCAAGTGCACCAGATGTTTCACGATCAATTGTTTCTTCAATTTGAAAACCGGAAATTGTCATGTATTTGTCAAAAACTGAAAGAAGAAAAAAAAGGTAAAAGTGGTATCTACATTTTAATTATTACATATTACTTACTTTTAGTTTCTTCAAACAAGCTTAGAAAAACATACGTATAAACTCATATACATGCCTCAACATATGGGCAGGACAATTAAGTCAGCTACAAAAAGGGAAAATTTAAATATTCAAAGATACATCCAGCTTATTATGCATCTACATATTTCTTAAAGTCATTAAAAACACTTATCACTACTCTTTTTAGTACTACTCACCCTTCCTTAAGTGAGATATACTTCGAGTTCCCAGAATGGTGATAAATTTTTCTTCATCTGTTCCCCATTTCAGTTCCCCAGCTCTAAACAGCTCCTGTTAGAATAAAAAGAAAGTTATTAATAAAAAGAAATAGTAAGATTTTTCTGTGTTCTACATAAAGCCAAGGGTCATAAAGACAACATTTATCTTAGGTAAGGGTTCAATATTAGATCATGTGTTTACCAGAAGACTTTTGAACCATCCTTATCACAATTAGTATGTTTGCATTCATTCTTTTGGCCACTTCAATATGATTCCCAATCACAACCTTCCCAATACTGCTACTCTTCAAATGTGTTGAACTTCCCACCAATCTCAGTAAGAACCATTATTTCTGTCCTTTATAATTTTCTCATGAGACAACAGCTTCACATTGTGGAATGGAGATGATGCCTCACGTGACATTTCTTGTTGAATAATTCAAATACTTTCTAAAAGAAAATAAATTCTAGATGCCAGTCTGTTTTTTAAAAACCACACAATTTCAACCATTTCAGAATAGACCTTGTAAATTTATATATGTGTTTGTATGTGTGTGTGTGTGTGTATGTTGTATTTGAGCTGATAAATAAATAAAGGGAGACTCAAATACAGCTCAAATACAACATACACACACACACACACATACAAACACATATATAAATTTACAAGGTCTATTCTGAAATGGTTGAAATTGTGTGGTTTTTAAAAAACAGACTGGCATCTAGAATTTATTTTCTTTTAGAAAGTATTTGAATTATTCAACAAGAAATGTCACGTGAGGCATCATCTCCATTCCACAATGTGAAGCTGTTGTCTCATGAGAAAATTATAAAGGACAGAAATAATGGTTCTTACTGAG